TTTGACCATAACATATGTACGGTGAAAATTTTGTTAATCACGAGAAGGTAAACAAGGAGTTACACCCCGAATGCACCTTAGGCCATCTCTAACCGAAAGAGGGCCATATGGCTCCTTTTAACCCTATAGTCTTCCAAGAAATTAATATTTTAATGAACAGTGTCATGCCATATTTCTTACCATCTTCAACCAAGGGGCCATTAGGCCAAACATAGACATTTGACAAAAAGCCATCTCTAACCGAGATGGCCAAAGGGCCATAGGCCAAACATAATTTATTATTTTAATTGAATTAATATGGTTACTTAAATTAAACAACCTCAATAATTTTCGAGATGGAATGTAAATAATTTTTCGAGATAGAATCTCAATAATTTTACGTCTCGGATTTCGAGTGTCACATGTAAATATGTGAGTAACTTTGCAAATTTCTTGTCGATATGGAATCTCAATAATTTTATGTTTCGGATTTCGAGTGCCACGTGTCGATATATGAGTAACTTTGCAGATTTCTTATCGATATGGAATCTCAATAATTTTACGTCTCGAATTTCGAGTGACACGTGTCGATATGTGAGTAACTCTCCAGATTTCTTATCGATATGTAATCTCAATAATTTTTCGGATAGGATTTTCGAGTTCCACGTGTCGATATGTGAGTAACTCTCCAGATTTCTTGTCGACATGTAATCTCAATAATTTTTCAGATATGATTTCGAGTGCCACGTGTCGAAATGTAATTGGTTGTAGGAATTTTAGATAGGATTTTTATTTGCGTGACATTTCTTATCTTTAACTTCTAATGTCCATAAATAGGGTGGATATTGGGCTATAATTCACACACCTTCAGTTTTGCCCTCTCCAATATCTCTTTCAATTCAAATTTGCAATGAATTCCAACTTTGGATCCTCTTCGGATTCCAACTGGGGGTCCTCATCCAATTCTGAATTGGAAGATAAATGGCCGCAGATGAGACGAGAAGATGAGGAGTCCGATGAAGAAGATGAAGCATGGTGCAACACATCATATATGGCAGATAAATAAACACATTGTCATAACATTTATCATACTTATCATTCACATTATTAAGAAGATAAATAAACATATATATATATATATATCACAATATGACATCCCATACACGTAAACCGATGTATATATCATCTGGGATAACCCACTAACCCATATAGGCCGACTAAGCCCTACATAGTCTTTAGTAATACAAATTTTAATATTTAAGATCATTTCGTAGCCTATTGACCAAAAGTCAAGTCTTTGTCAAAGGTGGGGTCCACAGCCCTATATAAGTCAATTTGGAACATCCGCCCATGAATTTCCGATCCGTAACTTCCCAAGTTTCTCATTTATCTTCTAGAACAATATTCTAAAATTTCGGAAAGATTCAACGATCGGATCTTCGCCAATTGCTAGAATTAGGTTGCTATCAACGTTTGGTTTTACAAACTTCGAAAATCAATTTGGGAAGATCCGTACGTTGGATTCCCAATTCGTCAGCTCTTATGATCCTCAAATATTATGTACTATAATGCATTAGAGTTTGGTCACGATCCAATGGTCGGATCGTCGAATCATAAAAGGAACAAGTGGCGTAATATTCCATACTAGGTTCAAACTATTGAACTATATCAAACAGTTATCAAATTTGAAATTAGAACATCGAATTTAACTTAAAAAGGCAGTGTTAGCCCACTGGCCATGCGCCGCTGTAGATGGCGGTTTCCAACGAATGGAAACCCAATTTTCCAACTAACTCCAAAAATTACCAAAGATCTTTCATACCTAGACCGAAGTCCAATTTGGTCGAAAAATGCCTGAAAACCAACTTGATCCGCTGGAAACCCTTGAAATTGTGTGCTTCGATTCGTCAAATTCTCAACTCCATCGCTCCTATACTTGTTTGGGGTTTGCTCCTGGGTCTAAAGGAAACATTTTGGTGGTGGTAGTCATCGGAATACCTTTTAGAAACGGCGGATCACCACTCTGCACCCCATGAAGCCCTCGGCTTCAATTCTCGCGAAATAGAACCAAATTGGTATTGGATTTTTGATGAAAATGGAAGAGGGAAGGTTGTGGTGTATTTCTCAGGTGTTTAATCAATGTAATTAACCAGAATTTGGCTGGGAAAAGCATTGGAAACCTTTGTTTCCGTAAGGTTTGGTCGGGAAGAAGCAAAACGAGTCAAGGGAATTCCATGCTTCTCCTCTCCCTCCTTTCCCCTCATTCCTTCCCTTTCTGATTAGTCCTTCCCCCTTATTTCTCTCTCGCAACTTTCATTTCCCCCTCTTTTGCTGCCATCTGGCAGCTTCTAATCTTTTTTTTTCTTTCTTTCTTTATTTTCTTTTCTTTTCTAATTGGTCCCTTCCCAAAGTAATGGGAACCCCAAAAATATTAAATTTCTATTTTATTTAAGAAACTTCTAAAGTCCGTAACTTCTCCTTCCTCGTCTCAATTCACAAACGGCCTTCGCCTACATGCTCGTGGTGGTGAGCTTAATTCGAAAACATTAAGAGTGACCCCCGAAGGTCTATGAATTATAAATAATTATTTTTCAAAAATTCAAACTTTGTACTTAAGTAATTAAAATCTAAAATTAATTTTAATTCGTCAAAATACTATAAAATACCGCGAATACGAAATACGTAAATTACAACGGTGAAATCCAAGAACAAGATTTCATAATTGCACTCCGAATGTTGGCCTATGCCTCCCCAGCTGATGCGATGTATGATACATATGGTATGTCTGAGTCTACATGCCTTGATAATCTTGCTGAATTCTGTCACACATTTGTTCAGCTTTACAAAAAAGAGTACCTCCGTGAACCAAATGAAGCAGATCTAGATCGGCTCATTCGCAAAGCTGAAAGAACTCTCCTACCGGATGGCAATGAGGCTTTAGTGGAAGATCAAGAAAGCCAACTATTGTGTTAAAGGCGGTTGCCTCGTTTGACACATGGATTTGGCATGCTTTCTTTGGAGTCCCAGGATCCCAAAATGACATTATAGTTCTTGGGTGTTCACCCATCTTTAATAACCTGACGGAGGGTAAATCACCTCAACTTAACTACTATATCAATGGGCATTAGTACAACATATGGTATTACTTGGCAGATGGCATCCACCCAAAGTGGGCAACACTTGTCCAAGCAATTGCAAACCTTGTGGTTGACGCCCAAATGTACCAAGAGGCATATCGGAAAAATGTTGAGAAAGCTTTTGGTATTCTACAATCACGGTGGAAGATCATTAAAGAAATGGCAAGAGGGTGGAGTAGAGATAAATTGAACTCCATTATGATGTCGTGCATCATATTACACAACATGATTATGGAGGATGAGCGAGATGGCTATATTGATGGAGAGTTTGATGACGACCAAGATGATCCAAAATAGGTTAAGGAGGGCTCGTGCAAAAATATATGATGAGCCTAATTTGCCTTTGGATCCAAGAACTGGTAATATCTTTTTAAATGAGTACATAAGGAGCCATAGGATGATACGTTCGCCTACACAAACAAGTACCTACAACAGGATCTTGTTGCACATCTTTGAGCCAAAAGAAGCATGGAGTAGATGTTTAAGTTTTATGTTGTTAAATGTTTTTTTTTTTTTTTTTTTTAATGTTGTTTAAGTTTGAATAACTTTCCCAAGTAGTACCAAGGTGGAGATTGTGTTCTTTAATGGTGTTTAAGTTTAATGTTAGTTAAGGTTGTTTAATATTGTTTAATGTTGTTTAATGGTTTAGGTAGTTATAGGAAAAAAATTAGAATTTTTTATTTTTAAAATTTTGTCCCAAAAAAATAAAATAAATAAAATTTAAATCCAACGGCTAGCTAATGTCATGATTTGGTATTTTTGGCCTGGTGGGGCCCACGAACCCTTTGGCCTAGTCCTTGGTTGGAGACGGTTTTCGTGTCATTTCAAGTTATTTTTAGCCGTATAACCCTCTGGCCGGATCGGTTGGAGAGAGCCTTAGTATTCTTCTTTTTTATTCATTCAAAAACAACTGGCTCTTATTAAATCATACAAATGAAAGTCAAAACAATTATATTTCTTCTACCTTTTAATTGTAGAAGATCATATTAGATAATAGTTTTTTAGACACTCAACCAAACATGCCCTAAGATTTGGTTTGCCCTACAACCCCTAAATGCCTTTACCACCGTCCAAAATCATTATTTTTTTAATTTTTCCCCCCTTTTTCCAATTCTAGTTATATGAAGTAGACTTGATATGTAAACTACCATGGGACGGTCTAGTGGTTGATGACAAATTTCAGGCTCGTTTTCATACAGCACGTTTAGGGTTCAATTCTTGACGTGAATCACACAATGGTTACCAGAATGAGACTAAAATACCTCTATAAGTCTTTTTGATCCCCCCAAAAAATGATCTGTTGTGGCAAAACCACCAATTGGTCCTTTTTTGTTTTATTTTTTTGGAATAAATGATATTATCTAAACTAAAGGGGAGGGGTGGGTTTAGCCTCACAATTAGCTAGCATAATGTGGTTCAAACTCGCATTTGGCGAGAATTGAATCTAAGATGTCTCACTTATAAGTAAAGAAGAATACCATTAGACCGTAATATTAAGTGGTTGCTGGTCTTCTTTTATTAGAAAAAATAGATCTAACATGTGTGGCAGTGTGGGAGAGGAAATCATAAAGGGGTAGGGTTATCTCTCCTCTTTTTTCCCTTCCCCTTCCCTCCCTTCATATTTGAACGGTCACGTTTAAATCACATCAGCATCTTATATTAATTTTTTATAGAAAGAGAAAGATAAAATAAAGAATGTAAGATAAAGGGATAGAAAGAAACGGAGAGAGGAGATGAGAGAATCTTAGTAGAATCGCAGATGTATAATTCTAGTGGGCACAAAAGTTCAACTTCACTACAGTCCACAATCCACGGTATTGGAAAGTTAATATATTTACCCAAAACCCCACCCTGCCTTTACTATAAATTCAAGCCTTCCCTCTTCCATATTTCTCAAACCATCTGCTATTTCACCCAAACCAAAATTTGGGTTTTTTTTAAATCCAAGTCTTTTGCCGGATTTCCCTACAATTTCTCATACACCTTCAAATTTATCACCTTTTTTCATCCAAATTCAAGCTCTTGCTCCTAAGTTTTTTTCGAACTCCGTTTGTTTTTTCACATTCTTGTTTCGCATACCAACATGTCTTCAACATCAAGCACTGTCTGTCACCCAGGCCTGAAATCATGCCTCGAGCCTCTTGTTCTGCTCAAATTGAATCCACCCGGATTGAATTTCCTCTCCCAATCTCAAGAGAAAGCATCCCAAATCGAGAAAATCGATAACTTGAACTTGAATGACAAGAAGGACAAGAAGGAAGTTGAAGTAGCTGGCTGGAGCTTCCTCCAGTCTCTGGTCAACCCAATTCAACCCTCCAAGAGCGAAAGCGAAGCTGAGAAAGTCTATGTCCATCCGCTCGCTAAGCGCTCTGCTTCAGCGCTCAGTCCAGGAAGCTTGGAAATGTGCACGGAAAGCTTAGGTAACGAGACGGGTAGCGAAAATGGCGGCGAAAAGCTCTCACTTTTGTTACACAAGATTGAAAGTCCTTTACTCTCACTTGGAAGTAGTGGGGAAGTTAACCCTAACCCTAAATGTTCTACTACTACTATTTCCACAAGTGAGAGCTCAAAAATATTGAGCGACACCAATGTTCAAGCTACACCAAAGAGATTGAAACGTAGTAGCATAACTACCACGAATTTCCCTCCTCCTTTGACATCTATCAGTGGCTCGAATGGTGTTCAAGTGACGCCTCACCGGGAAGGCGGCCGGCTGGTTTTGAAAGCCGTCACAGTTGTCTCCCCTCCCACCGCATATTTCCAAGCGGAGCGCGGTGATGGGAGACTCAGGCTTACATTGCTGAAGCCTAACTGTGACATTATTGAAGAAGTTGAAGAAGACGACGAGGTTCAAATCGAGGCGAAAAATGAAGAAATTGGTGGTGAAGTTGAAGAAGATGAACTTGATGGGAAGGTTGAAAATGTTGAAACAGAAGAGATGCAGGGGGATATTGAAAGTGCTGAAACAGAGGAGGTGGAGGGAAAGAATGAACACTGTGTTGAAAACGAGGATATGGAAGGGAAAAATGGAAATGCTGGGGTTGGAAAGGAGAAGAAAAAGAGGCCTCCAAGGCCAAGCAGATGTAAAGAAGGCGGGCGTGGGAACAACAAGATGGTGATCAATTGGCCGGAATCCTTTTGGGTTGCCATTTAAGCCTTCTCCTCTATTTCTGTCCCTGCTTAAAATTCACTATGATTTTTCACTTTTTTTTTCCTTGAAAGTTTAGTCATTTAAATTTGAAGTTTTCGTAGCTTCGAATTTCGAATTATGCTAATGTTAGTTATTATCGTTATTGGACATTTCTACCCTTTGTTTCTTTCTCAGGATATAATTAACCTATTGTTTCCAACATGTATATAACATTCACGTAATACATAAATCGATTATACTATATGTCCAACTAACAATTATATAACACGTTAACTAGTTATAACATGAAAATGTATTTTAGCAATACACAATAATTTTTTATTAATAATGGCCATGAACGTTTATTATAATAACAATACTTTAAGGTAGATTTCGTTTTGAGTAATGTCAGACAGATCAACTTTTTAGACTAAATTTATAAATCATGTGATGTGTCACCAATAGAAAATAAATAAGTTAATAAATAATTAAGTAATAATTAAATCATCAACAATCGTCACATGATTTATAAAATTTAATTGAAAATGTTGGTTTTCGTACTGTTAATTTTTGATACAAGAATTAATTTAAATTTCATGGAAAGTGATTCTCTATTGATCCCTTCTTCCTAATTCACCAAGTTCGAAAATCTAGATCATTGAAATTTGATCTAACAACTAAAGTTATTATAACTTTTCAAATGAATTTCTGTTTATAACCATTTGATTAAATTTTAATGGTTCAGATTTTCAAACTTGATAGATTAAAAGGAAGGGATCGGGAGATGATCCTGCCAAATTCCATAGCCAAACTGACAACCAAACGAGAACAAAGTGACGTAGTTTCACCAACTACCACAATTTTAAAGTATATTGCTGGTCCTGGTCCCAAATATACTGTCATCCAATCGAATGTGTCCAATCACTTTTTACGGCTAGCATTTTGGACCTTTTTGAAAGTTGTAAGTTCAATAATATGTATTTGGAAAATTTCAACTTTCATGTTTCCAATATTCTTCCCAAACTACTTCACAATAATATGCTTCATTGCAAACACAGCTGAGTTCAGTGGTATTATCTTGCAATGAGTGTGAGTTAACTCTAAAAAACAAATAACAATGCTCGTTATTTGAGGCGACTACAAACATTATAAGAAAGAAATTACATAAAACGAGTTTATGCTAATTTTTTTGTATTTATCTCATAATGTAATATGAGTTTCTTTCTTACCATGCATCAACGTGAGAAATAGAGACCAACCCCCAATAACCAAAGGTAAGTGTGTTGCAATTTGTGTACTATGTGTGTCTTGTAAATATAGTGTGTCATGTAATATCTCTCATTACGTGACAATTTCAGAAATAAAAAGAGAAGTCACATAAACCTTATGATTAGCAAGTGTGCTAAAAATTTGTTTCAGGCAAAAGTTGTAAGTACGTTGCAAGTTATGGTACTTGTGCTTGGTAACTATTATAAGGTATATCTCATCACGAGAAATTACTATTGAGAAATAAAGAGAGGATTTACATGACATAACCAAGTGGTCGAAAATTTTGTGTCATGCAAAGGTAACTATGTTGCAAGTTGTGGACCTTGTGGTACTTATGCATGGTAACTATCATAGGGTAGGGCTCACAAGGTAACATGGAGTGACTTCGTCAATCTTCATCATCCATGTGTGATCGCTTTTCCTCTTCTCAATTCATATGATATATTCCATCACGCACAAGAGACTCAAGACTCAAAAGTTGTGCTAGTCAGCTCGATCGATCGTTCATGTAGTACAGCAGGAGGAGGAGGAGGAGGACCACTGTCCTAAAAAAAAGTATTCGATAATAACATGCACTTGTATTGCAGTTTTGGCATACAATTTCCTTTACAAATTTAGTGCGATCGACGGCTATGATGGTTGATATAAACGATATCGACAGGCAATGAAAACAATGATTAACAAGGTTAAGTTAATCTAGATGCATGTTCTTTTCAGAATATTATCTTTGCAAGAAAAGTGGTTTTTAGCTGTCGTACTTCCGTACTTGCGTGCGTGAGCAATTTCTAAGTTTTCATTCATGCACATGGAGTTTAAATATGGATTAGGATTCTCTGCCCTCATTTTTCCATTCTCTTCCATCCCTTCCTTTTACATTCTCTATTTTGTCTTTCTCTTTTTTATAAAAAATTAATATAAGATGTTAATATAGCTTAACCGTGACCGTTAAAATAAGAAGGGAGGGAAGGGGAGGGAAGAGGGGAGAGAATCCTACTCCTTTAAATATATATTTCATCCACGTTAGTGAAACCTTAATGTACTTTTACGAGAGGAGACATTGTCCGTTCATGGAGTTGGGGCATCCCTACGTCATTGTACAACGAGTGTACGATTAGAATGCGAAAGCAAATGAAGTTGTTAACTTAGCCGCATGCAAGAGTGTATCTAATACATCATGTGCTTAATTTAAGAGCTTCATTGATAGATTAGATAGACCCTAAATTATATGGAGTAGGATTCCTTCTTTTTTGAATTCTCTTCTCTTTCAATTTCTTTTTATTTTAACGGTTACTATTAAATCACGTTAACAGTTTTTGCTAACTTCTTTATAGAGAAAGAAAGAAAAAGAGAAAAGTGAGAGAGAAGGAAAATTTAGAGAAGAGAGTATCATACTCCTAATATATGGTACATAAATATATTCTCACAGCATGATTTATGAAAGGTCTTAAAAAAAGCTAGGATAGAAACTCTTGGGGCCAAGCTATCTTGTGATCACTTTCTATTTTTTTGGTGAAGGATCACTTTCATTTTACTGCCAGTTGAAAGTACTATTAATATCCATGAAAGAAACTGGCATATTGGTGCATTATATAACTGCCTGCCCCATTTAGCCATTGGTGGATTCTTATAGATGGCTAACATCACACTCGTAATAATAGTTTCATACGCACCTCTAATATAGTGGAGGTTTTTTCCGTCTTCATATGGATATTTTAGCTTCCAAGCTTGTTCATGTTAAGATTTTAGAAATAAGTCAATGATTTGTTACTAATTACACATATTGTGTTTAACTTAATCATTTGTATATATATGGTACACTAAAAAGTGTGATTTACAAAAGACCTTGGTAGTATTAAGAGTGAAACCATTCATACATGTCAAGTTTCCAATATGAGGTGTGCATTCTTCAAAACTCCTCTCATTTGGGATCACAAAAAGTTTCAGTGATTTATTAAGAGTGAAACTATTCATTTATAGGTGGTATTTTATTTTGTCAATTTTCCAACATATGGACCTACATTCTTCAATACTTTATGCATGTATGTATGCCTTAATTTTTTATTTATTTATTTCCTCTATGTTAATTAATTAGGAGCCTGTGCCAATTAGAAAATAACACCAATAAGTGCCTCTAGTACAAGACCATGATGTATACATTCAACCCAAGCATCAATGATCAAAATGGTGAAAAGTTATATATAATGTTTTTCTTAAGTTCTTATTTTTTGTAATTGCCATATTGAGGGTGAATAGTTTTTTTTTTTTTTTTTTCTTTTTCTGCCGGTTTACTCTTGTACCAATTAGGACCAAATTCAAGGTAGAATTAATGCCTTCACACACCTGTGATTAACTTAATCTCACCAAACTAAATATGCTTTAGTGTTATTTTTCTTCACTTGTAAGTGAGAGGTCTTAGGTCCAATTTTCACCAAGATCGAATTCAAACCACATTATTGTAACAGCCCCATTGTAAGGTTTTGCTCACTCCCTGATCCCCTTAGTGTATTAAAAAAATATTGAAATGACCTGATTTACACTTTTTCTTAACAAAATAGAGACGGAGTGTCGTTCGCTCAGATGATCGATGATGTGCAAATTCATAAGGGCCGAAATTTGATAACAAAAGATAGCACTGGTCAATGATTATAATTTTCGCACCATGACACACTAGTACTTGCAAAGGTAAGTGTACATCCTATGTTGTTACTATGCATTTCTCAGAGTTTCTGCATGCGGACCAATTAGGGTTTCTAGTTTTCATGGCAATTATATTGTACATATCTTTGCCCTACTACTCATTGGAAAGGATCTGACACATCCCATAGTGGAGGGCTTTCTGCAATACTGCACGTTAGGAGATTCACTCCTCCTCCAATGAAATTCATTTTTCTTCCCAAATTATTAAAGCTCTGTAGCCACTTCAGTCTTCAGTAACTGGTCATACTCTTCCCTATTTGAACTGAAAGCAATCAAAGTACTCCAGTCTTCATCTTGGTTTGATTTCTATCGATCCCATTGGTCATCGGGGCATCGAGAGTTTTATTATGCTTTGAGGTATCTTATACTCTAAAGGTGCATTTGTTGTACCGAATTATCTCAAACTAGAGCTTTAAGGACTAACCTAGATTAACTTGATATAGACTAAGTAGTATAAGAATCATCGACCGTCTGATGCAATGTCGAACTAAGCCACAAACTAAATTATTTTTGAAATCCAAATATTTTTTTTGTCATTTTTTTATTTACTTTGTCTCCCCGATCTCCATCTTTTCTTTTCTTTTCCTTTCATTTCCTTTCTCTTTTCCTTTCTTTTACTTTCTCACGCCTTTTGCCCCATTTTTCTCTGGAAGCTTCTGCTCACTCTGCTCAAACTGTTAGATTAGATTAGACATCATTCTTTTATGACGGCTAAGCATATATCTCCTTCGTGTCTTGAATGATTCCGAGCCATAGCCCTTCGGGCTCTCTGCAGGGAAAGTATACGATGCTTCCTGTGCATATTGTGATTTTCTACTTGAGTTTTGTAAAATTGTTTTGATTTGAGGGTTTATGTAACTCATTGACTGTGACGCTGTAAATTAGATTGAACTTCTGGCCATGAATCTCGCTAAGGCTGGTTAGCGAGGCGTTTAGCCGAGGCAAGTCCCTCCTAGTCTCATTAAAGCTAGTCACTGTGGGTAACAAACAAAGGACTACAATAACACTTAGTCCAGTCCAATATATTGAAAGTTAGCAAGGGCAAACAAATGCATCCAAAAGTTTTTTGTCCTTAGATTTTAGCTATTAATATTTGAATAAAGATCTAACTATTAAAAACTCCGTCTTATAGGGCACCCGAAGTATACTAGAAATTAAATCCACTAAGTCACATCTACAAAGAGATGCCATCCATAAATAATTC